AATGAAAGCTGCTCAAGCATACAACTTTTTCATAAGGGGAAAAAGGCTTCATAAACAATTTTTAATAAATATTTGGGCATTAATAATACATCTATTAAATATTTCATAAACCCATTTTATATGTTAAGCAGCCCATAATTAGCATGTGCTATATCCTAAATATATCTCTTATAAGTATGTACTACATCATTAAGCAACCTTTCCCGTGAATAAGCTACATATAATTAGTTGATTTCATTACTATTATTGCATAATTTAGTATTAATACGTGTAAAATTTATATTAAAAATGATTCGAATTTGTGAATAAGTGACCTAGTTTTGAATTAAAAAGACTTCTGATTGTATGCACTATATTATTACTATGCATATACATCATGATTGGGTTCACTATAATTGGTTTTGACTACTTTTTATTTTTGTTTTTCTGAAGAAGATTTTTATTAACACCTTTATTGACTTTTATGAGACGTAGTGTTTCGCTTTCACTAGCAATGTTGTAAAACGATGGAGATTAATCACTTACATATATATTCATGCGGATTCCCCATATCGGAGGAGTGGGACTCAATTTTCTAGTTAGCTAAAAACTATATAGTATGTACTTATATAGTAATATAAGGCTGCCGTCTATTGATTAATTTTATGCACAAACATATTCACACATAATTGTTTGAAATAAAGTTGATGAAGTACCATACCTAGCTTTTCTTTTAGTTGGAAACGTGATTTTGCATAGTAGCATATATATTATGCAAACGTTTAGGCTTTCTTTTGCGTTTGTTTCGGACTCTTTTAATTTTGTAGGGTAAAAATGTCACTCGAGTCATTGAGTGGCCGGTAGAACACACTTGTACAATTATCATCAGATCATGATCATCTTTGAGAAAGTACATATCAATTACATTATGAATTCTTCAACCATATAAGTAATGCAAAGTTAAGTATTATACTTAGTATGATATTGCTAATATTCCATGTTAGTATCATTTCACAAATTAAAGCGCGTATTACAAGTTTACGTGCATGTTACAAGTTTACGTGCATGTTACAAGTTGTTGTGAAGAAACACATTGAAAATAATAGTCCTAAACTTTTTTTTATCTTTTATGTTCTCCTTTATTTCTTTCCGCTATTTGAAAACTCATATGATTACAATGTAACCTAGCCATCTTGTTATGTGGTGAAGAAAAATTCTAGAGCTTTCCGTACATGATGACACTAGTTCAATTGTTCAAAAACTTCATGATGCTAAACTCACTAACATGCATGCTATGATTTAACCACATTTGCTAAAATAAAGTGAGAGATGATGATATAATATATAATGATGCAAGTAACTTTAATTTTATTATATAATCAATGTGGGGAACAAATTTGATATGGGAACAGGCTTATAATCATGATCTCAGCTCCACTGAGGTGAACCTAAACAAAAAGAGAGTTTACCGAACTACACAAAGAAAACCTATTTTTTTGAGACATAAAAGAGAATGAAGACCAAGGAGACTCACACTGCACAGTAAAATCTTGATTTTTTTAGCCATAAACAAAAATAGTTTGGGTGAGGTTATTATATTTTATATTGTTAAATAGGATCGATAAAAAGTAGATTGAAAGTCTTACTATCTAAGCTATATATTGTATCGGGAATAAATAAATACACAACCTTATAAAATTTCATACGGAATAGTAACATATTTATGTTTCAAATACATAGATCTTTAAAAGTTTCATGCGCTCTTTATATCACGGATTGATCTCTATTAAATAAGTCAAATTTGCCAAATTTGGATCACTTGGAAGTAAACGAGTAAGTGGAATTCACCCAATCAGTAGAATGCATATACAATAATTCGTACTCAGAGCGCAGTGTTTAAGGTTTGAGATCGATTACCTCTGAATATTAATTAAACGGTAAAGGGCCAAAAAAATCGGGATGTCATTTGCAGACGACAAAAAATTGAGACCTTTGTTGAAGTTATATAGTAGTAAGTCACTATCGTTTAGAAAAAGGTTTACTCTATAAGTAGAATGAAAGTTACAGCAAGGGGGGTAAAACAATCCAATCCATAATCACCTAGTGATCCCCATGTTATGGTAAAAAGGTTGTTATGATTTGCTAAATTTGCTATTCAATCCTAGTCTTTGCTTGTCTTCTCAATTAATAACACTAGTCATCAACTAATGTCCATAAATTACCCCAAGTTGTACAAGCTGGATTTAATAATACTCCGAATTTTCTAGTAAGTTGTGTCTTTTAAACTTTTGCATACTCCTAAAACTTGTTAAAAAAAAACATTTAAATTAAGCTACTTTCTCTGTTTTCATCTTAGCCTCCATGCCATACGGACATATGGCAATATTGAAAGTAATTTGTAAAAAGGGAATACTATTTTCTTAGGCCGTTTTATATAAGAAAGAGGAAACCTAATTCGACGCTCAATCCAACATTTTGAGTAATTAGGAATATCATGTGACTGGCTTATGTCTAACAGACCTTTGGCCATTTTAAATAAGAACGGGAATAGGTAATTCAATGCTCAATTCAACTTTAATTAGCGCACAATTAGGAGTTTCCTGTGGCTAGCTTAGGTCTAGACTAATACAGTATCTAGATCTCTAATCAATGATCACTATCAACACACTAAGCAAAAATTAGAAAGTAAGAAATGTCACATTCATAAATCCGACCACTTTGTAAAGAGTTGCAATCCAAAACCACAACTAGTCTAATAGTCTACAAAGCCTATTTCGGGCATCCCATACCACACAAAATATTTCATGTATCTTTACCATATTATTTCCCAACAATTATTCAAAAGGTTTTCCGTTTTCAAAACACTACCAAACCCACGGAAAATTGGTTGTCCCCTCTTTTGTCTTAAGGAATATCAAACATAGATTACCTCAATGATTCAATTAACATAATTAAGATGAACATGTCATTTGTCATGTCTTCAATTTCCTTTGATTTGTTTAGCATCTTATAATGTTAACAACCCGACCCTTCATTAGGAAAACACTAATAGTGTAATGATCTTTTTTAATACTTCGTTAATTTATTTTATTCTTTCAATAATAGATATGATTCTAATTCATGGTAACCATTTAGGTCAAATCCTCTTCACTAAGTATATATACGCATTGTATTGGGAGTAATTGATTATACTACCTCAATTTCATATTATTTGCAACAATTAGACTCTTTCTATTTGATCACACTTTATGTCAACTCGTTGCTAATAATCTAGGTTGCACCGATACGGACACGGATCCCACGGACACGGGTACGATACGGACACGACAAAACGGAATCCTAAAATAGGGGACACGGGTACGGCAAATAATAAGACAAATAATATATCAAAAAAGGAGATTTTGACAACCTATTCAACAAAACACTAAATAATTAACCTTAAACAAGTCATTTACCGTAAGCTAAATAATATTCTCCTATTTCACATACAATAATGTGCTATGAAATGTGTTTTGAAGGCGCTCGTATTATAACTATTATCTTTTTCTCTCATACTTTACCTTAACGTTCTAATTAAAAAAGTTAAAAAGATGAGGTGACATATCAAAATGCAAACCGGATCGTATCATAGTAGGATTCGATTCGTCTCAAAGTGTCTAAATATATTAAAAAATCGGATGCAGTTTTTATGTGTGTCTGTCGTGTGTCGAACGAGTGTCGGTGTCTGACACGGTGTCGGACACGGACACGGCTGTTGGACGAAGTGTCCATGCATCTTAGCAAATAATATGAAGCGGGAGTAGTATATGATTAATACATACTGTAGATTGATTAAAACTATCTTTTACGTACAAATCTTAGAGTTCTTTCTTCATGTATATAGTTGTATACTTGTAATTGAGCACATAAATCAATCTAGTGGTCTACTAACCCCTTATATTGTCAATTGATTTTCGATTGGATTGAATTAATCGCATATTAACTCCATCTTTATTGACACATACTTGGAATGAAAATGTAGCCCCGCCTTATATATAAGAGAACCACATTACTATTACCGTACGTAATAGTTACCTTGAAATTGAAGACATAAAAATCTCACTTTCATGTAGTTTGAGAAAAAGGTATGTAAGATGCTACACCATTTTAGCATGGTGATTAATGAATAGTGATCTTTAATATGCAGACAACTTTTTCTTGCAACGGGACAATAGAATGTTGCTCCTGAAATGCTCGTCTTTTCAAGAGCAAATATCATACAAAGTCAAACTATATGCCCTTTTGGTTTTCCTTTAATAAAATTATTAATAATAAAGAATTTAAAATTAAAAATTTTACTAGCACGCTAGGAATTTTAGCTCATAAAAGTTTAAAGGGTTACGAGCTGGAAGTTGGATCCTTTTTGACAAAGGCTGAATTCCTTGATTTTTTATTTTTTTATTTTTTTTTATTTTTATAATGGAGTATATTTTGGATAAGATAGAAAAAGTGGATTGATTTCACTACATGTATAGTAGAAATCAACTTTGTCTTTTTATGATAAATAAATAAATAAAAATTAAAAAAAAAAACCAACTTGAGAAGGATTTTTCTCAATAATTTTGGGATCAAAGAATTTTTTTTTAAAAAAATACATATACTAAAACCCTGTTATGTTCACCTTATTTTCACTTATTTCAGGAAAAATAAGTTTAAATAAGATTAAGTTTATGAAAAATAAGTTCAGATAAATTGTAATAAGAGTTAATCAGGGTTAAGTTCAGATAAGATTAGATAACTTCAGATAAATTTAGATAAGATCAGATAAGTTTAGATAAATAAAAATCAGGTGAATAGAACGCATACTAAAATTGGTCATTATCGTAAAAATACTTTATTATTTAAATTTCTTTATATATATGGAAGACAAGATTTTCTTCTTTGAATAGACATGTAACGAGTATAATTCATGATGATATAGACAACCTCTTAAATTAGATTTGAGTTAATTTAATTTATTTTAATTTAATCTTGTATGTCCTTTTTTCTTTTAGTGAGAGATCCTAGGTGGTAGGCAAAAAAATATAACCATTACAACTGAAATACCAAAAATACCCATGAAGAAGCTTTCCAAAATATGAAATTGGATTAATTGGTGCTCAATGCATTTCTTTATTATACAAATATATCATATATTGTCTTATAAAGAGAGAAAAAAAAAGTACTTAAGTAGAAGTACACTATACATAATATGCTTCCTTTGACCTCTAATAACTAGGCACCTTAGCTTAACTCAAAGATAAACTTATAAAAAGGGAAATATTGTGACATATATCATGTCAATTGATATAATTGGGTTAATATTAGCACAATAAGATAATTACGAAACTAACTAACTAGATAAATTTGAGTAAATTTGTGGCCAAAGGGATATATAATAAATAAATAAAAAGGGCCGGTTGGCTACTATATTTTTCCCCAACTCAGGACCAAAAGTACCGTCCCACCATAGTAATTGGCTACTAACTAAAGCCAATTGAGTGATCAATTAATTGAACTCTCCCAACTTAGCATGGTAATCAAAGTCACCAAGCTAAGTTAATCAAATTGTGATCTCAAATGAACCATAATCAAGCAACTCTTCAATCATTTGCTCAATATGATCCTCCTCTAATTGGGTATATTGTAGTTGCGGTTCAAGTTGGACATTCTCGACCTTCATTGCCCAATTGGGTTCCGGACTAGGTAACACTTGTCCTATTGTTGAGCCGTATTCGGGAGACCAAGGGCCCGTCTCCCCAAATTTAGGGCCAATGCAATTGCCCGAGCCCGAGAATTGCGGGCTGGGTACCCTTTGTTGGGCCTGCATTGCTGAGTTTTTAGTCACTTGCAAAGAGGCCATATAGCAACGGTGAAGCTTGGCAGTTAGAGTAGCTGAGAGTAATTTGGATGATGAAGTTTGAGGAGCATTCGGGTTGTAAGGGAAATTGGTCCGGGCCCTTGGCCCACACATTAGTCGGGCCGCTTCATCGTAGGCCCGAGCTGCATCTTCTGCCGTTTCAAATGTACCCAACCAAATACGCGTTTTTCTGTGAAAAAAATACGAACGTTTCGTTAGCAAAAAAATCAATTCAATTTTTTACTTTTTGTGTAGGTAAAGAAATGTACTACTAGTACATAAATAATATACACGGAATTCATTATCACGTGGTGTAATTGATTTTAAGTTTTTAATCAACTAAGGTAGATGACATTTACAATAATAATGTGACTAACTAAAATACGAAGTAGAAAAGATCAAAACTTACAAAATGGGGTGACGAATTTCAGAGACCCAAGATCCCCAATGCCTTTGACGAACACCGCGATACCGTTGTTGTGGTCTTGCCATTATTGTTAAAAGGAAAAAAACTAAACGTTTCGTGTATAATATGTGATCAGGTTGCACAACAAGTGTTTGTAAAAATGTCCAAGAGAAAAAATGTCCAAGAGAAAAAATGTTTCAAGTGAAGAGGAGAAGGAGGGGGATTAGCGGGGGGATTGAAGGGGTTTATGTAGTTGTGGTATTTTTGACAAAGACAAATAAAAATGAAATAAAATATAATAATAATAATAATAAATGGGGCCCACTTTTTGCCCACTACTGGCAAGCAACATTAATAGGTCCCACATAAAAAAAAATAAGAAAGGGTCCCACTTAAATATTATAGGTTTATGTCAATTATATTATTATATATGTAAATTACTTTTGTAAATCTATATTAGTAGTTACCAACTGGCTTAGGTTGAGTAATATGATTAAATGAATTTTAGGATTAGTCCATATTTCAAAGAAGTGTCCCAACTCAAGCCAGATCACATGGGTTATCATAATAAGTCATGCTACCTTCCATGCCACAAACTTACAATACTATTCTAGCTAGTGTATATTCTAAAGTCTTAATGAAACTATAATTTCTTTATTAGCTATGAAAATTCTTTATTAACTATAATTTCATGCTAGCTTATCTTATGTACTTTGATTGATGTAGTTATAATATTTTTATTATGTGGCATGAGCTTAAGTAGATATGATGATAAGGTGTTTCTTTATTTATTGTCGTTATTAATATTATCTTATATGAAATTATTAATTCTTATCTGAACTTATAAACTACTCAAAGTCTAATACATGAATAAATTTACGTCATTGTAAAATACATTGATGTTGCACTATATTGATTAAAAAAAAAATTATAATTAGTCTTGAAATAAGCTAAGGTGTGAAGAACAAAGATTCAGTCAATTCTTTTTCAACTCTATTAACTTATTAATTGCAACTCCTTTTCATCTGAAGTTGTATAGTGCTAAGCAACTCCATCCTATTACAATGCTCGATTAAATAATGGTGATTTGATGGAGGGGAAATAATATCTAAAATCTTCAACACTATCATAACCAACAACTTTAAAAATCATTAATACCCTATATATTGCATCAATAGCCTATAAAAGAAAGTTAAGTTACTAGTTGCGCTCATGTTAATTGAAGTTGAATTTTTAAGGTACAATTGAAAGTGAAAGCTTGTTGAAAATGTAACTTATTAAAAGCGATCTTTGAGACCACCTTCTTATGAGACAAAGAGGACAATGATTCTCAAAGCATCATAATTACCCTTTGTAACAAAATCATTTGCTCATACCTTATTTACTGTTTTTGAATTGATCCCATTACTACACTAACAACCTTTTTATTAACAAGAGGTTTACAGCTGGTAAAAAATCTACCAAAATCATTATCATAGTCTAATATTAATTTCATACAAGTATATTAGTATACTACTATTTTCTATTAATAATTTTTTTTCCTACCTCATTGTTTGGGAACATTAAACATTATATTTTTAATATAAGAAAAACATGTAAATTTATACAGGGTCAAGTAGGCCACGATATATGTAGTGGTCCAACTTTATTCAATTATACTACAAATTATTATAAGATATGGTTAATGTTTTTCTGTGCTTTGATCATTTTGTGGGGTACAAAATATTAAAATTTAATTCTAATGTAGCATACAATTTGCCAAAACCATTACCCGAAACAGAAAACATAACATTTGCCAACTTTTTACATGGGTTGGCAAACTTGGAAGTTAAAAATAAATAATCAAGTGGGACAAAGAAACTTGCTTTTTAACATTAATTAAGTTTAATTGTCCTAATCCAAAATCTAAATACTATAAGTGTGTTTTAATCGATATCGGATAGTGGTAGATTTTCAATCAACGTAAATAATGATGTGGATAATGTTAGCAAATGATATGCAAAGTTGAATTTAATTAATTCATTATATAGGTGAAAAATGCTAGCACTTTACCCCACAAATATGAAAAATAACTTACATATATGTCAAATAAATATGGATACTTGAATAAATCCTTAAAGATGCAGAATTAGAAGATGTATTTCAGATTGAATCTCGTCTTGCCACTATTGTTTGTAACTCGAAAAAATTGGTTCACCCGCCTATTATTTTCCATGGTGGTTGTGTTGATACCCTTAGCTTGATGGGGATGTTGTATGTGGTAAGTGTAATATTTGTAGTTTGCATGGTGAGGAAGACCATGCCCTTAAATCTAGCTGCCACTGTTCACCCACGTGGTAGAGTGTGCCCCCATGCTATTCTCCATTGCTCATATAGTTATATGTCCCATACGTAAAAATATTTTAGATTGCATTTTTGGCATGTCATATAAGCTGATTTTTGTTTCTTGAAAAAAGAATTACTAGCTCCAATTTTAGATCAAATAGTTGACCGTGCATGTTTACTTTTGGATCACATTTATTTAAGATGGTTGACTATTGAGCATAAAAATTAGAATTAGGCTAACTAGAGCTGAGTAAGTTAGTACTATTAATAAATGCGTGAAGATAGATTGTAAGTATGTAATACTGAGCAATATTGTACATACAGTAATTGTTTTTTGATTTACAATAAGTTATAAAGAGTAATTGTACACGTGATATACTTTAAATATGAATTGGATTCAAGGTTTTCCCTATAGACATTGTATAGCACATATATTCGCATCCAAAGCAAAAATGATCGGACATAGACATAGGTCCACACATACATGTTTCAACTATTGTGAAGCAAAAGGATGGTCCAAAACTACCAAGTAGTTCCTGTGGCAAGGAAATCCAGAGTTCTGATGTATGTCGTTGCAGATATGTAAGCATCATATGCTGTTTTTAAATAAAATTAAAATTGTAAACTGACCACTCTGCTTCCTTAGCATACGACGATATATCCAATTTAAAGATTTCATGTTACTAGAACATGCACTCTTCATGTGTATGTTGAATTGTTGTTGAGAAAATTTGATTAACTAATTAATTAATTAATTATGTTATGTTCTTCTGCTTCATTCAGTGTATTGTATGTTTGTGGTCCGACCCACGTGCATTCACTAATTTGAGTCATGTATTAAATTTTAGATTGGTAACTACTGTCTTGTCTTCTAGTTCTTCACATTACAATATTGCTACATAGTTTTTTTAGAATCGATTCTCTCCGTTTTGTTTTCTTCGATCAGTATTCTCATCTTCAGATTAGAAAATCTAAGTTGATATTACATTTTTAAAAAGTCAAAACTCTTTTATTATTCTGATTTACTCCATTTGTACATTTGATTATGCATTACATTAGAAGTGAACCTTTGCTTCTAACTTTGTAGTTCTATTTGCCTATAGTATAGCTAGCTTTAAACCTTATAGCTTGGGCCATGGTTTATGTTAAGGTAAAACTTCATAATAACAATATAATGTGGAAGCTAATGATGTTAATTGTTAAATAGTACTCTTTTTGTCTTTAAAGGTTCTTCCTGATAAGTTACAATAAAAAGTTAAAGCAAAAAGAATATTTAGAGATCGTTGGAAAGAGTATATACTTCTTATGAGGATTATTCTTCCTCTAATTGTACCCCTCTTATAACATGAGTTTAGATTTGACTCAACCTGGATATTTTAGATTATCATGATAAGTAGTATAGAATCCATCCCCTTATCTCTATCCCGAATGAAATGATTACAACTTAGTAAATTACTACTTATTTGGTTTTTTAAGTGCTAATGATTGACAAATAGAATGTACTTTGTACAAGTTGGCTCAAAATAAATTTTGTTGATAAACTTAGCCTCTAACAAAAACTTGAAGTTTAACTATTGTCAATGCTCAACTTTGTTCATCAATAATAAGAAGTTGACATTGAGATGAATCTAATCAAACTCCCCTAACTATATATATACTTATATATGTTTTTTTTTTTTTTTTTTCTACTTATTATATCAAAATCGTGACAACTATTCAAGAGGAATAATTGTGTATGTTAATTCCGATCCCTACATATATCTATTGTTAATTTCATATACAACCTAAATTTATAAGTAATATAATGCATAATACATCTAACAAATATGATTCCATTGGAAATGGAAATAATATTGAACTACCATAGTTCATAGATTCAATTAATCCAATGCTTAAACTTGATTAATTAAGATTATTGTCCATATCAGAGAATTTAAATTTGTGTTCTATATCCCAATCATTAGTTGTGCATGTCTTATATGCCACATTGCTGCAATAGGCTCCAGTCAGGATTCATCCTAACCTAGCGAAAGAGATATCCTAATTTCTTTTTCTTAATTTTCATTTTCCTTTAATGTCCTGATAAGACTATAACACAAAATACATGGGCTAGCTGCAAATAAAGTTCCTTTTGCATCTATTTGGATTTTGTTTTGGGATTCAGTAGACGTATAGCTCATTCAAATTATACCATAAGGCGGTAAGGAGTATTCGTAACAAATTCTGTTGGGGTATGCAATCTAAGTTTAACATGAAAAGAATAAGGGCATGTTGCATTTCTTATAAGTATCCACCTAATCCATTAGTATGAGGCCGACCTTTATTTTAATGTGAAGGTGTTTAAAAATAAATCTGTATGACTTAGGCATAAAGCAGACAATATTTTAATAATGTGGAGTGAAGATGTGTGTGCGGCCTGACCAACCCGAGCCCTACAAATTGTTTTACCGTCAATACGGCTTGAAAATGAGAGGGTATGAATCTAATTCATACGTGAACACAAACACTAAGGCACTAATCCATATCCTTTAATTTTTTTGGATATGCATGCAACATGCCACCAGATCTATACAAACAAAAACAAAAGAATTCACAACAGTAAAGTTTTTATATTGTGATAAGAAAAGTGAGTGTCAGTGACCAATATGTTCAATAGAAAGTGATGGATCCAACTTCTCGAGCCTTCAAAATATCCTTTTTTTCAACAAAATACTATGTGAGTTTTCACCTGTTTGGGTTTTAAATCCATTGCATGCTTACAAGAAATTTTGCTCGCTTGCTTTTCCTTGCATTTGTGTGTACATGTATAGGAGTAAAGTTAGTTCTCTATAATAATTGTGAAATTTTATCTCTTGGAAATTATAAGGAGTAATGTATGATCGTGTTTTGAATATAAAAATTTAAAATATATTCAACACTGTACAGAGTTCTTAGTGTGTTGTAATGTTGCATGGATTAACTATAAAAGTCTACATATGAAGCACAGAGCCATAGAACATACAACTGTACTCTCGTAGCATGTTTCTCCTTTTTTTTGTTTTTTCAATCTTCATTTGATGAA